ACAGTTGTCAAATATTTTGCCACAATAACTAGGTTGTTTGACTTCATTGTGGTCGCCATTAGTTACTTGGGTACTAACTTTTCTCGAGATTTGATTTGTTACTCTTGGACTATAGCTAATAATAAATCACATTTACAAGGGCTTACTTACTGTAGTTTACTAGGTACGTACGACATAGATTTACTTATAGTTAATAACTAACTATATAATGATACTTACAATATGTAAAGAAAAGGATATACAGCCTGAAATGCAATAGGTAATAATATCTACTTCTGCATCTCAATTGAAATTGAAATGGATCCCGATAATTACAGGCTTAGAATTATAGACCCTTATGAACTGTTATATTTTTTAATAAACCGAATGAAAATAAATAATAGGTATTATAACGTAAATTAAGAAAATAATACATATTAATTAATTAGGTTTTCAAAAAGGATGTTGAATACATACACAAAAAATACTGGTTTGAGTTAGCTATTAAAATTTTTGTTATCTAAAAAAATTAAAAAAACATACCGAAAGGGATTGTTAATAATTTGATAGTTGGAATTTGATAGCCTTATTGCTAGCAATATACCCTATTAGGTCAACTTCCACGTGGTTCCCCTGGTAACCATCGCGAACAATTCTTGTTGAATTCGTCACAATGGGCTAACTGTCCTGCTTCATCCTCACCTGTCATCCTTTACTGATGACCCACCGGGGTATACCGATAGTGCAGGTGGGGTATCATTTCATTCCATTATCACCTGTTAAAAAAAAGTTTGTCATACCTATGTTTTAGTCACCGAACAGCTGTGGTATGCTTGCATGTCTGAGTTTCGATTTGAAACTCAGTATGATACAGCAGTGAATTAATAGATTACAGATCCATACACTTTTACCAAAATGGCAATGTGTGATAAGTATTTATTAGTATCATGATCATTATAGTACATCATACAATATTAATGTTGCCGATCACGTCTATAAACGAAAGTTTCCTACTATCAGGTAGATTCTCAATTTGTATGCCAATTCGAGTTTTATAAAATTACTAAAATACGTAATGTATTACTAAAATACATAATGTACTCGAATATTTGAATACGAAATAGTGTTAACAATAGAATTATTGACCTTTTGTTAGAAGTTTCATTCACTTTAAAACCCCATATAATGTTATGGTTGTTTTTTTCCTGGTAGTAATTTCCTGGTAAACTTTATTCTCCAGTGACAAAACTAATTATTACTACTCGAGTGAATTACACTTAAACAATTTATCAGTCGTAATTCGAGACTGATAATAAGTTATGACTAGATTTAATAGATTACGTAGTGCACTACGACAATGCGTAACTGAAGTCTAGGTATCCAATGCTTCAATCTTGTAATATCTACCCAGAAGATTGAAATTAGAAATCCTAAGTTGATGAAAAATCTGAATATGAGTATAATTATATATGAGTGTATGTTAAACCATAAAAATTCAAAAATTTCCTCATGCGTCATTCCAATTTCTCTTTATACTTATTAGATCAATTATTTTTACTGTTGAACATAAGCTTTCCCCTTGGGGGGGTTTCACCAGTAGTTGCTACGCTCGGTAGGCGGATTGGCAACCGCAGTTACGCTTTGTAGATATATGCAGCTGCTGCTCATCCCTCGCCCTTTCTTAGTCACCTTAGTCCTCCGACACCCACGAGAAAGGAAGGTGCAGCCTATTCTATGCCAAGACCACGCGATATAATGCTATGCTCCAAATTTAAGTTTTTAAATTTTTTTACGGATTATTTTTGATATAAATATATGTTTTTTTGTCCTCATAAGCTTATTTTGTGAGGTAAACACTAAAAAAAGATGCATTTTTTTTTTAATCAAATCACTATCACAACAAAACAACGATGTTATGATATATAACACACATAAAAAAATGTAAACAAATGTGATAGTAACCTCTATTAATTTTTCAGTGAAAATTTAATTAGAAAATATTATTAGTTTAAACAAGAAATTTATGAAAGCTTTTTATTGAAACATTTTATTTTTAGCAAAAGAATTCATAATATTCCTCTAGGATTATATTTCTAAATAGCAAATCCTATATTTGTAATTTTTTAAATATATTAAGTTAAAAAATAAGATTTTTAGATTTGAGCTGCATTGGAAAAAACTGATCGTAGGTTATATTCTTCAGTTTGGTATATTTTAAAATACTTAGGTATAGGAATTTCAATTAGTGGAACGATGACTGTACAATTGTCTATGGTTGGGTTTATGTCTATGGTAGCCGAACTATCATTAGTTCGAAATAGTATTCTTTGTCCATCATCGAAATCGTACAAATTCTTTGTCCAACCATAATAAAATTGTTTATTTAATAGAATTTGATGCGTACATCGATACTTTTATTTTATCTGATATCTAGCACACCCAGTTATTTAAATTCTATTATTAAAATTTACCTAAGTGACTATTTATTATTGAAAAAAATCTTCTTTATTAAGTAATGAAACCTATCTGCTAGAAGAAGAGAACAAGACAGGGTGTCTATGCATAATTATTATCCATTAAATACCAAACGATATATCCAGACGCATAGTATTAGAGTCATGGTATCCCATTGGATATCCCCGACTTTCCCTATAAACTTTGTAGAACAAGCTTCTACTCTTACTTGGTTTTTCCACCCCTACCTTCTCAAGAGGACCCTTTTGGACCTCTATCAAAGAAAATAAAAAATAATATTATTTCCATCACAATATATGTGACCTACAATATCTAAAACTAGTCTAGATCGCTTTTATTTCTGATATATAGACACTATACTATGACAGTTAAACGAACAATTTTAATATGAAACCCTAATAAGCGTGACATGGGAGGTAAAAGTATTAGGTATAAGTATAAGTCTAACAGCCCCATTGCTAACAATGCATCCTATCAGATCAACCTCCACGCGCTTCTTCCTGGAAACCATAGTAGTTGATGTTTGTCGAATTCGTCACGCTAGTCATTCTCATCCTTATCATCTCACTCTGGTGCCCCGTCAGCGTATACTGATAGCGCAGCAATTCCATATTAACTTATTAAAAAAAAGCGTAAAACGTCGACATAATGATAAATGAAGAAATGAAGAGGAAGTCAAAATTACAATTTAAATAAAAACTCTCTAAAAACCTAATACTGTTGGATTTTTTGTGACTCTTATATCTACTTGTTACTTAGTAGTTCCGTGCGCATGAGTCGATGTCATGCCGGTGTGCCGCATGCCGGTCCCTGTTCTGCGCGTAGGCGAACAATGTAGTTCACTGCCCACTTATCCAGAGTCCATGCCTTTAAAACATCCGCTACGAGCACAAATTATCGCATCCGCTCAATGATTACGGGAATGTTTACGTTCCAATGATAAACAGATATGAATATAGTAAATAATTATTTTAAAATAATAAACCTTAAATTTTTTAAGCGATTTCAGAAGGAAAAATTTTACTCGCCTATATTTGAAATGACTTATAAATTTGATTGTATTTGTTATATGTATGTATTAATCTAGCAATACATGATATCTTTGCCAATTCTGAATTAATATTGAATAATTATATTTTTGAAATCGATAGATTTTAAATAGTACCTCATTAGTTTCATATTAATTTATCGATTCGTTTTTTCCGAAAATTTAAATTATTTTGTGTAATATTTAACAACACATATATATTACTAGATAAAAAAAGCTTCAATCATAAACATACTATTAAATAACGAAATATTTCGTAGATACCTTACATTGTAAATTTTGCATGTTTATTTATACACTTCGTAACAGTCAGTTTAATTCACTTTAGTTCAGTTTCTTTATTTATGTATTTATATAATTATTTATTTTATGTTAATTTGTTTTTCTTGTGCCTATAACTATTTAAATTTGTTCTGGTATTAGGTACATATTTAACATATAGGATTATATATTGTATATAGTTAATATTTTTTTTTTATTTGATAAAGGTACTTATAATTATTTTCCTTAATGTTTTACGCTGTTAACATCATATCTATCATATTTACTTGTACAACGATTAGTCTATTACCCTAAGATTTTCTTGAAAAGATTGCTCTCAACAATAAGGCCACCTTACTGTACTTACACAATTGTATCGTTATATATATTGTTTTGCTTATTTCCTATATTGTAAAATGCAAATAAAGTATACTCATTCATTCAATTATTTGCTCTGCAAAAAAAAAACAGCTCCATCACAAAATTAAAATGGGATTAACATGTGAGTATATTGAAATTGACAAGATAAGATAGTACTACAGATGCTATATTCAAGAGTTTGATGCCAACTTGATATGTTTATCAATATCACAGCAAATATAAATAGCACAACTAGTTTTACTATTAGACAGATTAATTGTACTTAGAGATACTATTGTCCATTACAGAACTGCGTGTCATTTAGCTACAATTGTAAAAAAAAATAGTTAATATTTATAAACTATATTACAGAGCTTTATGTTTTTTCCTTCGATAAATAACTATATAGAAATCCTAGTTTTTTTACATAAATAATCAAGATCTGTCCTGTTATTGAAGAAATACCTACTATTTAATATTAATAACTAAATTAAATAATTTGTAGGATAAAATATTGTTGTGTTAATAAATTATGTATTGCTATAAATTATCAAGTACTATTTTTGACCATTTTAAAAGGTGTTTATTTTAATAAAACTCAGCCGATATTGTCTCACACGTACATACCAAAGATTTCTACTCTGTTTTCATGATGATAGAAGTCTATTACTACCATAATTCCTGCATTTCTCAATTTTTAGATTGTATAAATAATAAATAATCCTTTCATCTGATCTACTTTTCATATGCCACTAATAAAATACTCACTTTATTTTTGCATCAACATTTTCTGGTCTTATTACGTAGGTAGTAGTCATCTCAAATAAATTATGTTCTTTTAAATATATGTTATGGTTTAACTTAATTAAACGACGTATTAATAGAAAAATTTATTGCAAAAATTATATAGGTAATAACAGTTACTAACATTAGTGGGTTATATAAGACAATTAATAATTAAAAAGTAGGAATAATGTCTTTCTTAAAATTAGAACGTGAGTAAAATAAAAATAAATAACATGCAATATCAACATTTAGAGATCACGTCTGTCTATAAATAGATAGAGAGACGAATCGAGGGCACAGTGAGAATAAATTAAATATCGTAGAGTCGTAAACAAGCTCTCAGACAAAGGATTAAACTTAATCGTCCAAACATGATGTTTGTTGTTAAATTATACAGAAGCAAGAGGTAAGTTAAGTTTACAATAGTATATAATAGGTAACGAATTAAATTAGCCAATTTAAGCATTCTGTGAAGATATCTATTAAAAAAATTATCTTCTAGTTGAAATTATTTCACACCGATATCACGGGAAGTGACTGCAGTCGCTGTGCGAGTGACGGTCGTAGTTGCATTTGCAGTCCTAGCTGCTGTTCCTACTTTGCGAATAGTAGTAGTGGTGGTGGTTTTGGCAATACCTCCGTTTGGAAGATTTTGAACTTCGGTGCCAGTGCGCACCTCCTCAGATGCAGCTTGACTCTTTTCATGGGCAGATGTATTTTCAACGTTCCTCTGCACATTTTGTTCATATCCTTCACCTCTAATTAGTTCAGTACTAGACTCCTTCGTCGTAGATGCTCCACGTTCACCTTTTGCAGCCATTCTAATCATTCCATTCTCGAGAGGAACAACTTCACTATTCTGGTATCTTTCGATAAAACCGTCACTCCTATCAATAGTGTATGAACCACGGCGGGGTGGCTGTTCTGGCACCCAAACAATTTCTTGAGTCAGCACTTCTTTAACGGGTTCTGGAGTTACCGTAGTACTTCTTAATTCACTTTCTGCACGCACATGCGTTACATGTGGATGTTCAGAATTAATAGTATTTGATTCGTTTAAAATCATCTGTCTATTAACGTCGGTTTCGACATTATCATTAATTTGTTTAATTTCGTTGCTTGTTTTCTTTTCGACAATTTTTGTTTGTGTTATATTTGAGACGTTAGAGATATTCTTTTCAATTGGACGAAGAGGCTCAATAGGTTTCAATTGCCCCAGTAATGGTGAATGCTTGATACCAAACGTTATATGTGGTGTCTTGGTAATTTGCACCTGTAATAATAACATATCATTTTAATAATATTATTTATTATAAAATAAATTATTGCATGAAATATGATGTTAATTCTGAAATCTTGATTTAATTGATTGATAGAAAATAGGAAGAGATAGATTCTAAAGATTTTTAATCACATTACTGTTCGTATTTTAAACAAGCATATTGTAAATACGAATATTTAGAACGATATATACACTTTACAAAAATTCAATAATAAATAATTTTGGAAATTACTTCATAATAATTTTAATAAATTTGAAAAGTACTTTTATGGCGTAACGGCTATAGTGTAATTAGGTTAATATTAAACTATCACAGTCATCTTGTAATTTTCCAAAAAACAAAATAGATGAAGAGTTCAAAAGCAAAATATTAAACAACAAATTTCATATATAGATACAGATGTGTCTGCAATGTTTTCTACAATTAATGTATAAGTACATAAGGATATCATCATTCCGATAATAATTAAAATAAATTGAATCTTTTTTATATTTTTAATGAAAATGAAACAAAATTGACAAACACTAATTATACAGACAGATATTTTAAGATGAACATTAATTGCATGAATACTACAGATATGTATAAGGATAAGTATATCATATTAAAAAATTAATAGTAATAAGTATTTATCCAAGGGTGGAGTTAAGTCACCAGATTGCGCCTCCATGCATAATATGAAATTTGAAAGTACAGAAAGCAAAAAACATATCTAGATGTCTTTGACACTCTCTGGTTAATCCGCAAAAGATTTGATTTGAGAATAGATAGATAATATTGTCTTACTCAAATACTTGTTATGAGAAAATATAAACACTAATTTTAAACTTTATTTTTTTACACATATTAAAAAAATACATAAATACTCGTTGGTACATAATTACTGTTTACTTATTTTAAATATACAATCGAGACTTAACGCGATGTGCTTATTTGTTGCCGACTTTTCGACGTGGATGAACCACGTCGTGGTCACGACGTTGTGTATTTAAAATATGTGTAAACTACGCCAAAGGTTAAAATTAACTACTATTTACTTGTAAGACTACGGCTTTTGTCACAGAAATAAATACAAGAACATACGTGATTTAATCGCACTAATGTATATTTTTTTTTTATATTTTAGTAATAATAATAAGCTAAATTAGTGTCACCTTTTCCGGTGAGTAGGTGCCAGGCGCAGGAACTCGTACCCGATCGTCGACCGGCTCTTTGTGACGACCTGACATGGTGTACACCGGGGTGTCCAGCACAGATGGTATTCGGTATGTATTCGGTGCTGAAACAACAAAACATAAATGTACTGCTTGCATTATACTCACATTTATTAAAAATAAAATAACATAACATAAAAAAAAGCTAAGATTGAGATTTATTATTTTTATTATATATTATTAAAAATGTAAACGTAAAAATATAGACGTTTATTATAATAGATATTTGATTTAAACAGCTGAATAGATTTGATTGTAATTAAGTACACAGTCCTAAATTAATACAAAGGATACTTTTTATCCTAATTCACGCTAATAAAACTGCTATATAGAAATTATAGAACAAAAAGATATTAATTACTTCGTATTTTTGTAAAATACGAAGTAATTTTACCTAATATAATTTATTATAAACATATAATAATCTAAACCTTATCATAAGTGAAATAAACTTATTTCATTTATAATAAGATTACGATTTTTCGTAAAATAATATTTTATTCTTTTTTTTTTCATACCAGGCGTTTCAGCATATTTGTCCGTATGTATTTTAACTCCAAAAGTATACTGCGGGGAATACGTTAACACAAATTTATAACCCTTTTCAGGGTTATATGTGCCGGGTGCTGGAACTTTTAGTCTCTCGTCAATAGGCTCCTTATGTCGTCCAGATATAGTATATAGTGGCGTCTTTACAGGTATAGGTATGGTGTACGTATTTGGAGCTGTAAAATATAAACAAAAATATCATACCGTAACATAAAGATGTAGGTCAGAAGAAATCTATGTAATAATAAGTAATCATATTTACCAGGAGTATCTAGAACCTTTAACGTATCGGTCTTGATTCTAAATGTGTATTGTGGAGAACTATGCATCAGTACTTTATCGGCCTTATCTGGATTGTAACTGTTAGGCGCAGGAATATTGTCTGGCTTATGAGGATTAGTTTTAATTCTAAATGAATATCGCGGCGCATTATCCAAAAGAATTTTATCCGCTTTCTCTGGATTATATACATTAGGAGCTGGATTTTCATTAATTTTCTCATGCTTGCCCTTTGGAGTCATAGTATAAGCTGGTGATTTTTCTGATATAATTTTGTCGGCCTTATCAGGATTATAAGAATTGGGAGCGGGTGTATCTATTACTTTTCCATTATCAATTTTTGGTCTAAAAGTATATGCTGGTGACGTCTCGTGTAAAACCTTGTCACCTTTCTCAGGATTATAGTAATTAGGAGCAGGTGTATCAATAACTTTCCCATTAACAATTTTAGGACGGAATGTATATGAAGGTGAATTTTCGTGCAAAATCTTATCCGCTTTTTCAGGACAATATGCATTAGGAGCAGGAATATTTGAAGGTTTATGATCGGGACCTTTTATACCAAAGCTATATTTGGGTACACCGTCTAACATGTAATGATATTTATTAGGATCATATGTATTAGGTGCCGGAACATCAGGAATTTTCAAGTCTGTACCTTTTCCTGATATTGTATACTTTGGTGAATTATGTGGTAGATGGGGGTCATACACATTTGGTGCAGGAGTATTTGACGGTTTTTCATTAGGCCCTTTTCCAGAAATAGTATACCTCGGAGAACCATTTAGTAAAACAGGATTGTAACTATTGGGACCAGGAGTGTCAGAATGTTTATTATCTGGGGCTTTACCAGATAAAGTAAATTTAGGTGTGTTATTGGGAAGATGAGGGTCGTATGCATTTGGAGCTGGTACGTCAGATACTTTTCCATGTTGACCTTTTCCCGCGATAGTGAATTTTGGAGTAGAGTTTGGTAATTGTGGATCATAAGCGCATGGCCCTGGCGTATCAGATGGTTTAGCATCTGGACCTTTTCCATATAAACTATATTTTGGTGTCCCATCTATTAAGTGAGGATCATAAGCGCATGGTCCCGGTGTATCAGATGGTTTAGCATCAGGACCCCTTCCATATAAACTATATTTTGGTGCACCATCTGGTAAATGAGGGTCATAGGCACACGGTCCCGGTGTATCAGATGGTTTAGCATCAGGACCCCTTCCATATAAACTATATTTTGGTGCACCATCTGGTAAATGAGGGTCATAGGCACACGGTCCCGGTGTATCAGATGGTTTAGCATCAGGACCCCTTCCATATAAACTATATTTTGGTGCACCATCTGGTAAATGAGGGTCATAGGCACACGGTCCCGGTGTATCAGATGGTTTAGCATCAGAACCCCTTCCATATAAACTATATTTTGGTGCACCATCTGGTAAATGAGGGTCATAGGCACATGGTCCTGGTGTGTCAGATGGTTTAGCATCGGGACCTCTTCCATATAAGCTATATTTTGGTGCTCCATTTAGCAAATGAGGATCATAGGCACATGGTCCTGGTGTGTCAGATGGTTTTGCATCAGGACCTTTTCCATATAAACTAAATTTTGGAGTTCCATCTGGTAAATGGGGATCATAGGCACATGGTCCTGGTGTATCAGACGGTTTAGCATCAGGGCCTCTACCATATAAACTAAATTTTGGTGTTCCATCAGGTAAATGGGGATCATAAGCACCTGGTGCTGGTGTATCAGATGGTTTACTATCGGGACCTTTACCATACATACTGAATTTTGGCGCACCGTCTAATAAATGTGGATCATATGTATTTGGTGCAGGTGTATCATTAGGTTTATCCAAAGCATTTTTAGGTCTAAATGTATAGGCAGGAGACGATTCATGAAGAAGTTTATCAGCTTTATCTGGATTATATACATTAGGAGCTGGCGTGTCACTAACTTTATTTAATTGATCTTTAACTCGGAACGTATAAGCTGGAGATGACTCATGTAATAATTTATCAGCTTTATCTGGTGAATAAGCGTTTGGCCCTGGAGTATCAGGTATTTTGTTAGAAACTCCTTTTCCACTTATACTAAATTTCGGGGCACTATCTAACATATGTAGAGACTTTTCTGGAGCATATACATTTGGAGCAGGAGATTCACTCCTGACAGTCGTTTGTTCCTTAATTCTGAAACTATAAGCTGGAGAAGCTTCGTGTAAAACTTTATCTGCTTTCTGAGGATCGTAGCTGTTTGGAGCTGGAGTCTCTGATGCTTTTACAGTTCCCGTTTTTCCATACATTGAAAATTTTGGTCCACCATTTAGCATATGTATAGATTTCTCGGGTGCATATACATTAGGTGCAGGTGTTTGTTCAATTTTTTCGACGACTTCTTTTGATCGAATAGAATAAGCCGGTGAATTCTCATGTAAAATTTTATCTGCTTTTTGAGGATTATAATAATTAGGTGCAGGAGTAACTTCATGCTTTTCAGCAATGCCTTTCCCTGCTAATGTATATTTTGGACCACTTTTTAATGAATGTATGGCTTTTTCTGGCGAATAAACATTTGGACCAGGTCCATTATGTACTTTTGTAATTTCAGTTTTAGTTCTAAATGAAAATGCAGGCGACTTTTCTCTCAATATCTTATCTGCTTTTTCAGGACAATAAGCATTTGGTGCCGGAACTTGTTCCATTTTTACAATTTTCATTTTACTAGAAAACGTATGTTTAGGTGAACTCGAGCGTTGTATAGTATCTGCCTGAAATAATAAAAGTAAGGGATATATTTCATATCTACAAAACAAAAAATCATGTTGCTATTTAATTTCTAAACATAATTTATTAACTATTTAAAATTATATAAAAACAAGTACCTGTAGTTGATGATAAAATATCAAGCAGCATGCAAATCATTATTTATTAGTTGTTAATATTATTCATTTATTTTCATAAAACATCTCCATCATATATATTTTGTTACGGTATCAGATACATACGACCTTACTTTATGTAAACATTGGAAAATAATTAACAAAAATATAAATATTTTATTTATAACAATACTCAATAAGTTATAAATTTATAATGATTAAATTGTACATTAAAATGCGTCAATATAAATGATTTTATTAATAAACAAAGACCTCATTGCTAAGCGTATAGCGATGAAAGTGTGTATTTAAATAAGAGCACAGAATATGTTAGACAAATTAGATAGCAGTGATTCCTTCTGGTGCTGGGTAGTGGACTGCTTGGCCGGCGAACTGCGAATGTCGAATTCCGAACGTGTGTGCTGGTGCCCACGGCAGCGTCACGCAAACCTGTCATGTGCACCCACCCAAGATTAGTTGATGATAGATATATGTGGGATTAAAAAAAGAAATTAGTAATGTTAGGAGACGTTAGTTTGAAATTGAAAAAGTGATTTTTAAAATAATGTCTGTACATTCAAAAGAAAAAAATACCTTTTCAGGACAATAGACACCGGGTCCCGGCACGGCAGCTGAGGGTGGCTTCACTTCTCTTCTTGGAGCCATTGTATAAGCTGGAGGTCGCTTTGTTAAAACCGTGGCTGCCTTATCAGTAGTATACGTTCCAGGTCCTGGCATAGAAGTCTTTGATTCCACAGCTTTCCCTCGGCCTGTTATGCTAAAAGCTGGCGCGGCCCGTTTACTTCCTTCTTTAGCTTCACCCAGAACAGGTGGCATAGAATATACGTTAGGCGCTGAAAAAATATAAAAAAAAATATATTAGATTTAAATTAAGTATAAACAATATATAACGGTAATAGTATATAAGGATAATAATAAAACATAAATAGGTATGGGAACACATTCATTAAAGAAAATCATGAAGTTGAATCCTATAGTAAATGATGAATGAGAAATGTTAGGAAAAATTACTAAAAAAATATAATAATAATCTTTTTGTTTAAGATAGTGATTATATAATACAACCTCACTACATGTCATATAAAGTCTACCGATTACAAACTTATATACTGTGCAAATGAAACAATGAAACGTAGGCGGCAAAATAAATACCTACTAACTAATGTATGGTAAATAATGATAAACTGGCAAAACAACGCAGAAGAAAAAAGTATACTAACTAAACGATACACTACACTATAATTGAAATAAACGACCACACAAACAAATTAAATGTGTATAAGTTTAATGATGTGCCTATAATGCTATTGACATCATTTTCCACCTGGTGTTTTACCGCCGGGTTGTGGCGGGCAAATGCGCAGTCCTATAGAAAAGGCTGGAGCATGGTCTAACACAGCCCGTGCCGCCTTGCTAGGTTCATAATCACAGGGCGCTGGGGTCGGGGCGACACGCGGCGACGGCCAGCGGCCATGCAGAGATGCCGCCGGACCCACCGCTCGCCCTGTGACCCGTTTCACATTGACAGTTGTTTACACCACGAATATTAACATTATAGATAGGTCATGTAACTTATCAAATTACCTCCATGATATCAACTATTAATATATCTGTATATCTATATATATAACGGTACATTTGTCGTGTGGTCCCGGCATAGACTAGGTCACGTCTTCCTTTTCCATGGATGTCGTAAGAGATGATCAATGAAATTTAATAGTTGAGGGATAGGCAGCAGCATTCCTCTTAAAATATCATCAACAGCGTAACTGCGGTTATTAACCCACCCGCTAAGTATAATAACTATTGGCAAAACCAATATTATTTTTAAAACTTATATAAAGATATTGTCAAAAACCCGCAATAGGGAGAGACAGTGGACAGTCAACGGCTGATACGAGTATGATGATGATATATAATATCGATATAATAAACAAACCAAAATTTCTGTTATAATGGTCCCATAGACGTGGGACTGTGCAACACATATGAATTTGGGTCCCTAAAAAAATTATTAAAAATATGAATCTACGTTATACAGAAGTATACTAAAAATATTTCTGTACATATTTGTAATGAAAATTGACGCTACATGCATAAGAGGTAAAAATACTATGAAAATAATTAAAAGTGGACTAAAATCTGTAATGCTAGCTGCATTATAGAGTTCCTAAAGTTTCTACTAAAAAAATTGGGGTTTAAATTCCAAGCATAACTAATTAATTTAAATACGACACGTATAAATGTTGTAATAACACGCTGAGAATTAAATCACAAAATTAAATTAATTAAACCTTCCAGAAATTTTCCAAGATATGCAAAATATGTTTATTATGTTTTTGAATTTTTTGCGAAAGCGCCGATAAACACTTTTTTTGATATATAATTTTGATATTTGCCTTGACAAATAAAAATAAAAAAATGCCTTAATTATAACATGCACCTGACATCAACATCACAAATGCTTTTAACAAACATTAAAAATTTTTAATAAAAAACACACCTATGACGTCGTCTTATTCGTCGAAATTACATGATGATGATAAATTTCGTGTAACGAATCACAACCTGTCATTAGCATAATACCTACAAATTTATTTTGATGGTTTGTAAATGTAACAATTCTGATTAGGGCCCCAAACATACATGACCTATAGATGTTTACCACTTGGAAACAAAATCTCCGTAGCTCAAAAAACTGATCTAATCTTCGTACATATTAATGGCCTTTGATAATATTAATCCGTTAATACATATTTACCTTTTATTTTTAAAAGCCATAAAAAGAATAGCGACCACACTGATATTTCTTAGCCCGTCACACACTGAATAATGGTCACTTGTACTGAAACAAGTTAAGTACTCGTGTAGTGTTAGTAAAACGTGGTGGATGCGACTGAGCCTGTAAGGCGATCGAGTAACTCAGGGTCTGTCCGGGCACCTACACGGCGCGTGAGTCACTGCCGATCACCTTCGACTGACTATACGGACTTATTTGGCGACATCGAATGCAGCTCGAGAGGCTTAAGATCAACCAATGCCAAAAGTTAAAAACGATCTGAATATTAACTGATTCACTCGATAAATAATAATAATAATAGGTGAATTATTTTACAGTTAATAATGTCACATTAAATATTTCTGGCTAAATGTCTAATGTGCATATAAACAAATAAACCGTTCATTATACGAATACTTTCCAATTTTCTCTACGATCAAAGAACCACGAAAGGAACTAAATGACACAATTACACGCGATTATAATTATCTAAAAACGTATACGAAGACCATAATGATCTAAAGATTATGTTCCCTTTAAGGAAGTGAAAGTTATGACAACCTAACACAAACTTGTGATTAAAGACACCAGCGCGCTTCCATAAACTGAACATAGCAGTTTAAATACGCAAAATAGTTGTGAATCTTAGGTTTTTCATCTAGCAGTCGATATTTTTAACAGAACTTTTGAATATAATACTTAACGTCCAAAAATTATATTTATTACATGATTACTTTATTCATTAAATATACGCCAATATTAGTTATAATAATATAAATAGGACTACATATAAACAAAATGTTATACACGTATATTACAAAAGTATTAATGAATAAAGTATAAATACTGCAGACGACACTGTTTATGCAAATTAAGACTGCAGTCACGACCCACTTAAAGTCATGTGTCGCAGAATGAATCACATAACCAAATATTTTTTTTCTTATTAAAAAACTACTTGTATTAATTTACTCTTTAAACTATTACTTAGAATGGATTTGTAAAAATGTATGAGAATTCAAACAATTCTTACGTATATAATCTGTTCTACTACTATTAATAAACTGCGATCAACCGTAATAAACTTCTGTCTGGTTCTATAATAGATATTGTATGGCTTATTTAGGTCATTGCTACGAGATCAAATCCATAATGTCATAAAACAACATCGTAATTTTTATGTAATTTGGACTGGCATGTAGTATTATATTGTTATGCCTAGTAATAATTATGCTGCTATTGCTGAAGAGGCCGCCCTAGTGATCTAAAACTCTGAGACTTTGCTACCCAATTTAGACAGAAGTCCTCCATCTTCATCATCCCGTCGCATCTGTCTGTCAGTATGTTCGCGATAATCTTAAAAACTACTATATGGATTTTCATGCGGTTTTCATTTATCAATAGAGTGATTCCTAAAGAAGGTTTAGGTGTATAATTCGTCAAGTTGTCGTGTAAATTGGTTGAAATATGATGATGATTATTGAAGGTATCGAAAAAATCAAGCTGTCTGGAAGCTTTCATCGAAAACGCTGCCTAATGTGTTTGGGATATAACCAAATAATATATGGTGGGATTCTTTCACTTTTATAAATCTTAAAAAAAAGTCTGCGATGGTATATGCCTACCTTTTAAAGGTAGCTTACTCTATCCATTACGGTAAGCTACATATTTAGATGGATATAGTATTCATAGGAAATAAAATATATTGAAAATGCTCTAAATAGTGTGATAATATATTACATTTCAATTTAATTCATAGTTGACGTAACAATCTGTTGTAAAAATGTTAGCATATATGCTCTACCATTCGTGTGAAGCCGGGACGGATCACTAGTATAGTAGTAATAATCTGTTACAATATTGTCTCATTACGAGTGAATGAAAAATAACGACAACATAATAATTTTGCTCTTCATACTGGTATCTATCCTATTTTTAATCTACCAATTATCTAATAAATGAAGATTACGCAGTACTGCCCACTCCATGTCTACAGTAAAGACAAAATGAAATAAAGAAGAATGAAGTAAATTATCAGTCGACTAGAAAATAACGTCCTAACGTCTGGTGGAATGGATCGACTTGGATGCGCTTCATTGCTTTGACGACAGTGCTGTGGGTGTGACTGTGACTGCTTTGATCAGTCATCGATATCGGGTCACTATAATTAACTATTCATTCAAAAGGTTTATAATTGTCTTTTTTGTATATAGAAAATACTTAAAATAAAAAATAATTTTCATCAATTTCCACCATTTACAGTCCACTGCAGCTCCTTTCACAGAAACCCATAAGAATCTGTCTGAATCCACACGCATTAAACACAAAAAAATTTAGAGAACTTAATATTAGTAATATTAACAAATAGTAATATTTATACTAGACTAATAGTAATATTAACGAATTTAAAGATGAAGACTGATCGCATCGGTCCCGACCATATTTTTTTAATTAAAGAAAGACATTGTTTCCATTGTTGCCGTGTGTCCCCGGCATTACATGGACCACCCCTTTCATTTCCTTTGAGTTACATAAGAAGTGACTAAGGGAATTTAATGGTCGAGGGATGGGCAATAACGCCCCTTCTTGAACATCACCAAAGCCTAGCTGCGGTTGCCAACACTCCGAGCGTGGCAACTACTGACAAACCTCCCAAGAGGGAAGGCCTATGGTCAACAGGTGATACAATCTGTTATGTTACATTTAAAATGTCCTAAACAAATAACCAATCTATTTATTATCATAAATCATCTTCGATGTCAAATTGATAAATTAACTTACGAGATAGAAATAAAAAGTTCGGTCCAATGCGATACTCTACGATGCTCAAATCATGTGGCTAATAAGTCCGCAGCGCGTAGGCAGGCAATTTGGCTAGCAGTTTCGATAGAGAGAATTTCAACTAAGCACGCAACCCACTTAAGAACGATTATTGTTTTTTGAGCTCTTCGGTCGTTGACCAAATTGTTATTTCACATCAATCTTAATGTACCTTAAATGCTTTTCATGTAATTGTCTACAGATTGTCTTTAAGTAGATAAAATCAATTACCTTTAGCTGTCATTCCTTCTGTGTTATAAGTAGCGGGTCCGGGTCCTGCCTTCGCAGTGACTCCTGGAGGTTCAAGCTTCTGACCAAAGGTAAAAGCTGGAGCACGCGGTCTACGGGACTCTTGGGGTGGTTTACCTTTCAAATATTTTTAAATATAATTCTAATATTTTTATTAAATATATTTTGTTAATTAATTCTAAAAAAAAAACTCATAACTTAGACAAAAATAAATAAAGGATCCCATTATATTAGTTTTGACATTTTACCAGCAGGGAACAGTAAACCCCGTCAACAAAACTTACTAATAGATCATAGCCTAGAAGTACCAAAATTAAAAAAAAAAAAAAGATTAGAAATAGAATTTAAGAATCTATAATAACCAAAGTAGTTATGCTTTTCAAATTAGAACTGTATCTAGATATAATAACATTTCAAAATCTTTGAATGGTATTTATACCAAATGAATGACTGGATTTATAATCGTATGATCAGACTTAATAAACTACTTAGACTGGATAAACCCTACGCTTTTATGAGATTAATAGTTGTTCATTACAGATCAAAGAAATTAAGCATAATTGAAACCGGCCATAGCATATGTGATCGGGGAAGGGAAAGGAATTGTTACTAATGGAGTTTAACTGCCCCATTGCTAACAATATACCCTATTAGGTCGACCTCCACGCGGTTCCCCCTTAGGTTTCATGGTTATCGTGATTAATTCTAGTGGAATTTATCACGATGGGCTAAATGACCTGTTTTCATCCTCACCTATTATTTTTCACTGGTGCCCCGTCAGCGTACACCGATAGCTCGGGCGGGGTTACCATTTAATTTTCACCCATTAAAAAAAAGCATATGTGATCACGTAGTGATGATATGTAAACTTAAGTACTTTCTTAAGTATTTTCCAGGGCACATCTGCACAAGTGCCGTTTATAAACAAAACGCGCATACACAGTGTACATAATTAGGTTTGCGCACTTTTTGAGGTTAGACTCTGTATGCACCTACAAATTTTACTTGCACAGCACGAACAGATTTATCTGTAGATTTATGTGTCATAACCCTTATTATTTTAGACTCAATAATTAAGTTCCTATGTAAGTAATGGTATAAAACTTCAATAAAAACTAAATTATTTATTAGAAAAATTAAAATTATTTATTAATAATATGACTTTTTTGGTCATTTACGCACATATTCTTTTAACCCTACTTCCAATTTAAGCAAGGTACTTTCTCTATATATTCATTTACATCAAATATTAATAATTACGCTTTAAAATAAAGGATAAATGTAAATAATATATATGTAATGTAAATATTAGAAGAGGTCTAAAAATTAAGAAACAACAAATTTAAACAGGTCAAACTTTTCAAATTCATGAAAAAGTTAATACTTAAATATGTAGGTTACATTGAGGTTTTTATGAAATTAAAAAATATTTTTTGTTTTGTAAACATTATCAACAAGGTTATCAATCACACTTTATTACAGCTGTAAAAGGAAATAAGTACATAAAAAAATTGCAATAAATATGAGTTAGTATAGGTTATTATTACTCCCAAACTAGATAAACATATGATTTTGAATTAAGTTTACAACAAGTTATTGCTGTAGTAAAAATTACTTACATCGTTAATCGTTATTAAACATAAGTTTACCATAAGTATCATTTATTCAAGGTCCATAAAATCTGAATCAGTCAGATTGGTCAATTATAAGAACAGTTTTCGTATGCAGAGAGCTCACCTTGGTTGGGGTCAGTGTTTCGCCCACGTCCCCGCCATATACATATATACTACCTACTATAAATTGTAACCGGCAGTTGTAATACACTAGGAAATCGATTTTCACTCTTCACACAGTCCTCTCAATTAATGCGACTATAACTAACTCAATACGAATAGCAAAATAACCATAGATTAAAAAAACAATTTAAATGCAATAGCTGAATGGCATGTGCGTGTGAGCCGCGTAAAGGTCAATACTGTTTTACTTATTTATGAAGAGAAAAAGTATTACGTTATTTGGCGAGCACTAACATGATGTCACTTTGTATAACAACACAAAGCGAGGTCGGTGTTTACAGAGCGTTGCTGGCTATAATCTCGCACTCGCACTAACCTCCGGATGACATCAGCTAGCACGTACGAACGAAACTCCGCGAACAATTTGCACTAAAACTAACGCCAACGAAAAAGAAATCCACACAGAAATGTATACAAAATTGACATACATTTTGAAATAATGATTGTATTTACAAAAATGTGCTAGTGGGTTTTTCAATGTTTGCTATTTGAATAATGTGTATTTGCTTCACTACGAGTATTGTCGAGGCTTGTTATTGTTTAAGAAATTGCTTTCAATATATTACAAAATAAAATGTATAGAGAACTATAAGAGTATAGTATTGAATAAATCAATAGGTTGACTATATTATTATTATTATAGTAGACTCTTTGCGAATTACTTGAAATTGAATAACCTACCTTCTTCTTATACAGAGCAGCAA